ACACTTTTCGAAATCCCACTTGTGTCCCCCCACTTTACAAATATGTTTATTATAATTTTTTAACGCAAGCCGTCATCGCCACGGAGGAGCACACAGCCTCTGTGAGCGAGTGAGACAGAAAGAGAGAGAGCGAGAGAGCACACCTTTATCTATTTGATATAGTTGTAAAAAATAAAGTAAGAAATCATTCCAATGTCTACTATAGGACAGTAAAAAGAAGAAACAGTTTAAAAAGGGGAGTGATTAGTAAAATATGCATAAATAAAAAGAAAGAATGCTAACTAGGTAACACAATGTTGAGAGCTGTATCCATACATTTATGTTGTGCTCAAAGTGCACCAGATTGATGCACTTAACTTCAACATTTAAAAATAAATCTCCCTGGGGGTGCATGCCCCCGGATCCCCCAGAGGATGTGAGGTCCACCCCCAAATAAAGCAGGTTAAATTAATTAATTGCATACATTTTCTTTTAGTAAACACTGAAAACAGGTCACACAGACCCAAACAGCACACAAAGGTTAAAGGTAGGCGTACAATAATGTTAAAATGTGCTAAATATATACACTGCAAAAAACAAAAAAAGGGCGTAAAAGTAGCTCACGACTTGTTTTATTTCTTTGAAAGTAGCTCACATCCTAAAAAAGGTCGGAGACCCCTGATTTAGATACATACACAATACTTACCGGATTCATTCATGTTTTTTGTTATTGGGATTTGTAGACATAAAGGAATCAAATAAATCACAAGACTTGTTCTACGCATAAATGGTAACCTCAATGGACCAGAACATTTTCTAATGAGAGCCTCACCTTCGTTTTCTTTCTCCGTCAGCTCCTCTGGTCCGGCCAGCGGCAGCATCAGGAAGGGCAGGATGTCCACATCGTCGCTTAGCAACCACTCATGATGGGCTGCACAGATAAAGAAGAGGGCCAGATGACAGAAAGCAATGTTTAATACAAAGTTGTTTAAAAAATAAATCAAAAATGTTCCTGAATACCTTTGTCTTATCATTATCACTTCGTTCTTGAATCCAAGGTTACAATTGTGGCAAATGTAAAGAACATTCCCTATGTGTTGCTGATATATTTTCTTAGAAGCATTTCCCTTTTTATATATTAGGTAGCTATCAGATCTGCCAGTAATTCTTAATGGCGTCTCTCTGTGTCTCACCGTGGTCAAAGCAGCAGTTGCGCAGGGTCCCAACGACCCCCCCCCTCCTCACCACTGATGCCTGGTACTGAGTGTAGGAAAACAACCTCTGGATCACACACCTGCAAAACAAACACAGCTAATTACGACATGCTGCAGCAGCTGTGAGGACAAATGATGTCATTATGGGTACATTTCATTAAATGTACTGTGAATATTAGCGGATTAACGACTTGACTGTCATGAAGCTCTTTGGTTCAGTATGACCCATCAACCAAATGAAAATTATATTTCAGAACTGTGTCTATTTACACATGATGCATTCAAGCACATGTTTAGATGTGGTTCACCTCATGGGTTTGACACACAGTTAAAGTCCATTAACACATCCCTTAACTGTATACTAGTAGCAGAAAAACATATGAAGTGCATTTATTGGTTAAGCATTTATGAACAAATATATTAGTTTTTGATGAGGACGACATTAAATCCTTTGAAAGGTTTTCCCGGGAAGTCATTCCTATTGGATGTTCACTGAGGATTTAAAGAGCTTTAATCTCAAATGCTTTCTGCATCTATTGACCTTATGTTGCCCAACCACTTGGACCCATTTCTGTTTCAGGTTTTTTTTACATAGTAAGCAAATAAAAAGTCGTAACATCCTCATTGATACAGATAAAATAAATATCAATCGCATAGCAAGCTTTGTTGGTGGTATATGACAATTTAAATGCGAAACCAAAGCTCACACCAGCTGAAGCTTCAAAACATTTTGGTCTCATCCGTTTCTTCTACACATTTCGAACCCTAAATTCCCAGCCACAGGTCCTCCTCTGTCAGACCCTCAGTACTCGTCCTGAGATCACTCACCGGTCCTTGTCCATCATGAAGCTCCGGGCCTCGGGTAGCTGCGTCAGGTTGGACAGCAGAGGACCAAGGTGGTGGAACTTCGCCTTCTTGTTGAAACTTTCAGCGCAGAAGATCTCCACCAGCTTCGCTACACCCACATCCTCCTGCAGGACCTGAGACAGAGAAGAAACACCCGTCAGCATCCTGCAGGGCTCAACCAGGAGCGCTTCATTTGATGACCTGAGAGACTCTGTGGACCTGTACAGGAACAGCTCACTAGGGATGGGTATCGTTAAGGTTTTAACGGTACTACTACTTTTATCGATACCGCTTATTGATCCGGTCTTTTAACGGTACTCTTATCGCTTCTTTTGGAGAAAAAAAACGAGGTAAACTAACCAAACTAATTGTGAACAAAACTAACATTGCTTTTTATTTAAATTAAATACATAATATTTCACATCAAAAGAAACAACAATGTTTTAACAAATCGTATTAAATAATCTGATAACAGAACTGTAAACAGAATAGCTGAAACTTTAACAAAATAAATAACTCAGTTACCTCTAATCATTAACCCATGTTTGTATCATTGAGTTAACTCTAAATGTTAATGTTGCTGCTAGCATACATAATATACCTGACGTGGAAACGTTACTCGTGGATGGGGCTACAGAGCTTCTAGAAAGACAGTGGAACCCGGTGCATTCCTCCGTCTGGATGTGGAGCTCTTTTGCTAAATGTTTAGACAAATTGCTCGTGTTACCGCCCTTACATGCTAAACTCTGACAAGGAGCATTGTCCACCTCAAGACGGGTAACATTTAACCACACCTCGGACACGTTTTCTCCGCCATCTCCTCCGTGTGTTGCTGCATGTAGCAGCTGTGTGTGTGTAAACTGC